GCAATACACTCGCAAGGCGAGGATAATAAATGCAAAACAAAGTGAATCTTGAAAATTTTAAAAGCAGAAAAAAAAATCTGAAATTTTGTGAGGGCCCTGCAGATTGTGAGGCCCTAAGCTATAGCTTGCTTAGCTTATGCCTAAATCCAGCACTGCTTAAGTAATGAGTATTTTCTTTTATACTGAAACTAGATATTGAAAATATTGATTCAAATGAAACAGTTAAAGGTGGATTCTTATTTATGTTATGTAATAAGACCTACTTGTTTCTGTTTAGGTATATGATTACTAGTGGCAGAAATAGGTCCCGGAGTGGCAGCAGCTGCCACTGGCACTGCCTGGATGGTACCTGGTGCAGCTGGGGAAGACTGAATAAACATGTCTGACTGTTGACTGCGAATAAAGATGGGATTCTGAGCAAGCAAAGCTGGTGACTGTAAGCCACCAGGGGTAGCCCAAGTAATTCCTTGTCCAAGAGGAGCTCCAAGAGCTTGGAATGATCCTAGAAATGGATAAGATGCATAAATGTTATAACTTGGTTAAATTAATACAATTTGCAGTCTGGAAGGGGGGGGGTGTTATCAAACCTAAAAAAAACATACAAAAGGATGTATGTTAGCCTTAAGAAAATTGTTTAGTTGTACATTTAATTTCACTTTAAGCAACAATCCCAAAAATGCGTAGGTATATACGTAATATAAACCTTTCTTATGTTACTTGCATACACATAAAGCAAAATAATATGTATTCTTCCTTACATATGTTATAACAAAACTATCACTTATAAACCAATGTATGGAGAACAATGTTTGATGTTCACTTACAGTTGTGGTAATTACTAATGAAAACTGGTTTAAGCCAAACACATAAACCTATGGTCCTTTACTTACTTATTCTCATAGAGATAATGCTAGTCATAAAGTTCATATCTTTCGTAATTGTATCTAAATTATATTAGATTATTCATTAAAGAAAGCCTTTTGATCAGTAACTGCCACTAAAAATAATTATGTGACAATTTTTAAGTTTTCATACA